TACTGGTTAAGAAAATTAACTTTTTCAATTTTTGACGTTGTAAAAATGTACATTTTTACTTACTCTTTTATCTGTTCTTTTCTTAGCAGGCTGTGTCAAGTTCTGGTAAGCTGTATATTCTCTTTTAATTTAAATGCTACATTTTAAGAAATTAAATTATAGATATTAAGCATGCCTTTTCTTTAGTGCTGTCAAACGATTAATCGCATCCGAAATAAAAGTTTTTGTTTACATAATATATATGTGGGTACTGTGTATATTTATAAATATACACACATACATGTATATATTTAAGAAATATTTATGTATAATATATATATATATATATATATATTAGTGCTGTCAAAAGATTAATCACAATTAATCGCATCCAAAATAAAAGTTTTTTGTTTACATAATATATGTGTGTGTTCTGTGTTTATTTATTATGTGCATAAATATTTTCAAAATATATACTGTATGTATGTGTATTTATATATACAAAATAAATATACACAATACATACACGCATATATTATGTAAACAAAACCTTTTATTTTGGATGCGATTAATCGCGATTAATCATTTGACAGCACTACTCTTCTTTGTTCTTCATGGTTAGGTTCATCGGATACGGATCTCAGACACAGAAAGTAGGTGGCGCTCTCTCATTGATTTTCTATGTGAACGTGTCACTGGAATCTACAGTATTCAGTTATTTCTGCTGGTTTTTCAGTTGTATTCCTGTAGACGAGCGGCAGTCGGCGGCAGAGCTGGACGCTATTCTACAGCATCATCACAACCTGCAGGAGAAACTAGCTGATGACATGCTGAATCTCGCTCGCAACCTGAAGAACAACACGCTCGCGGCCCAGAACATCATCAAGCAGGACAACCAGGTCTGATGTTTTTCTGTCTACACGGCTGCAGTTCATCTGGTGTTTGTATAATAGTGCATATTTAGGACCATAATGCCCATCCTCTGAGTGCAAAAAAAGTGTGTACATCTTTTAATCAACAATATATTTTATCATTCTCATTCTTGAATGACATTCAATTCTTGTTACTGTAATATATTTTATCTAGCAAAAAAATGGTCAGCAATTATCTACTTAAAATTAATTATTGGCAGTGCAAAAGAATATAACTGTAACATTGTTGGTAGTAATAATTTTAAATAAAAAAACACATTACATATTATATGTTCTTATAGTAAGTATATAATAATACAAATTATTATTATTATTGTTATTATTACTTTGTTGTTGCTGATAATTATATATATATATATATATATAGGGCTGCACGATAAATCGCATGCGATATTTAACGTGCAT